CTGACAATGTTATTGTTGCTTTTGAATGTTTCCAGTTTATGAATCAGAAGGAAAAAGAGAAGGATGGTTTTTTTGCGGCCAAGCTTGACATGGCCAAGGCTTATGACCGTGTGGAGTGGGGTTTTCTGGAAAAAGTCATGAGGAAGCTTGGTTTTGATGAAAGATGGATTGCTCTGGTTATGAAGTGTGTCTCAACAGCTACCTATTCGGTTTTGGTAAATGGCCATAAGACAGAAATTTTCTCCCCTTCTAGAGGACTTCGACAAGGGGACCCTTTGTCCCCCTATCTGTTTCTTTTATGTGCAGAAGGGATGTCTACACTAATCAAAAAGGCTGAAGAGGATGGAACGTTACATGGTATTCAGATTCGAAAGAAGGCTCCTGTGGTTTCCCACTTACTGTTTGCTGATGATTGTGTGATTTTTGGTAAAGCAAATCTAAGAGAATGCGACCAGCTTAAGGAGATCTTGGAAGTTTATGCTAAAGAGTCAGGACAGCTCATTAATTTCAGCAAATCCGAGCTGTCTTTCAGTAAGAATGTCCGGGTAAGTCGAAGACTTGAGTTCTGTGGTACGTTGGGCATCAAAGAGGTAGAAAAACTGCCGAGGTACTTGGGACTCCCGACTGTTGTGGGCAGATCTAAGAAAGCTCTTTTTGAGGATATTAAAGAGCGCATCAGAAAGAAATTAAAGGATTGGAAAAGCAGGACGATGTCCCAAGCAGGAAAGGAGATTATGATAAAAGCAGTGGCCCAAGCCCAGTGCTTATACCCGATGTCAGTTTTTCAGATCCCGGATGGTACCCTAGCTGAGATTCAAAAGCTCATCGCTAATTTTTGGTGGGGGCAGAAGGGAAAGGAAACAAAAATTCACTGGTTGGAGTGGGACGAGCTATGCGATGATAAGGAAGATGGAGGAATTGGATTCAGAGATCTCAGGGCCTTTAATTATGCAATGCTTGGGAAACAAATCTGGAACTTGATGACCAGGCCACAATCGTTAATGGCTAGAGTCTTAAAAGCCAGATACTATCCAAAAACTGATATTCTACAAGCAAAGCTTGGGTACCAGCCAAGCTATATCTGGAAGAGTTTAATGGGTGCAAAAGACAAGATTGAAGAAGGGTTCAGGTGGAGAGTGGCAATGGGGTTTCTATAGGCATTTGGAAGGATGCTTGGATCCCGGGAAAGGCTTTCTACCAGGCTGACCCTCCCCCTGATGGGGAAACTCCTGAGATAAAGGTCAATGCCCTGTTAGATGAAGTTTATGGTGGATGGGACGAATCAAAACTGAGGAATATGTTCTCCAGAAGTGATCAAGAACTAATATAAAAAATCCCTATTCGTTCCCCCCCGGTGGAAGATTCAAGGGTCTGGAAAGCTACTGACAATGGGGCTTACTCAGTAAAAACTGCATACCACTATGTTCGAAGTCAACAACAACACACAATGACCCGACTTCACAATAGAAACATGGAGGATTCCGATTTCTGGAACGCCCTGTGGAAGCTTCAGATTCAACCTAAGGTTCGGATCTTCTTATGGAAAGTAAGTAAGAACATCTTACCTGTTGGTGTCAATATCGAGGAGTGGATCGAAAATGCTGCTTCGGACTGTCCTTTTTGTAATCTTCCAGAATCCCAAATGCATGCCCTGCGCGAATGCGACTGGTTCCGAAGGCAGTGGAGAAGCTGTGAAGAAAAAGACCTGTATGAGATGGGAGAAGGAAGGACATGCATCGACTGGCTTAAAGAGGTCTTCAATAATTCATCCATAGAAAAAGTCCAAAGATTCTGCTCAATTATGTGGTTCCTATGGAAGGAGAGGTGCAATCACAAGTACAATAATCGGAAGCTAGAAGAGGAAGAAATCATACCTCGAGCTTTGGGGTGGCTGTCCTCCGACCTGGACGCTCAACCCAACCCTGCTTCGGCTCTCTTTTCTGGTCTTCTTGAGAGCAGAGCCCCGCGGGAAAGCCGTTGGCATCCTCCTCCTGAGGGGATCTACAAGTTGAATTCTGATGCTGGGGTGCTTCAACAGCAGGGAGTCGGACTGGGCGCCATTATTCGTTATTGGAGGGGAGGTTTCGTTGGAGCAACGGTGAAGAGAGAGAAGGGGATCTGTCGTCCGATCGAAGCCGAAGCAAAGGCGATGATGATGGGTCTGCGTGAAGCTAACCGGAGATCCATCAGCCCGTTGATCATTGAATCGGACTGCCAAGTGCTGGTGAACTTACTGAATAGAGGGGAGGATGATTTCACAGAGGTTGGGATTTTGTGCGATGAACTCAAGAGGATGGCAGGTGAGAATGAAGCTATATCTGGTGTGAAGGTGAAATGGGAATTCTCGCCACGAAAGACTAATTCTCTGGCCCATTGGTTAGCCCACTCTGGTTCAGGTTGGAATCATCAGGTGGTTTGGGTTGATGACCCTCCCCTTACATTACTTTTTATGGTTGAGACTGACTCGGGTTGTAGTTCTTTGGATCAGGTTTGACTAGTCCCTTCACAAAACATCCTACAAAATTGAAACGAAAAAGTTGCAATAAGCTTCATATATGCTCGATTAGAGAAGGCCCAACCCATATTCACACATTGGGAGACTAGGTCGTTGAAGCTAAAGCTTCACAATCGGTCCCAAGCCCTAACCGGTAAGGTAAAGCAGCATCCCTGAATTGGATGTGGATCGTTCCGCTCTCTGCGATTCTCCGCTGTGCTTTTCAAATATCTCCTCTCGTCCGCCGCCGGCGCTCATTCATCTACCGTCGCGGCGCTATCTTTCTCCGTTCACAAGCTCCTTCCATGATCACCCAGCTTGGAGACGATCTCCTCGTAGAGATTCTCATCCGCCTCCCGGATCCTAGACCCGCCTGCCGCTGTAAATCAGTCTGCAAGCGGTGGAGCTCCCTCATCTCCACTCCCTCCTTCAACCGCCGCTTAATTCATCACCACCACCGGAGTTGGAACCAACTCCCTCTGCCGGAGGATCCGAACGAGCTGCAATCGACCGTCCGGAGCTTCCTCCCTCGCGTGCACGTCCGAGACGAATTGAGAGTTCTGGATTGCTTCAAGGACTGGGTTTTGTGCGGGTTCTGGGATTTGGATAACGACAACCACGAGTCGAGGAGATCGTACTTGGTCTGCAATCCGTTCACCAAGCAGTGGGTCGCCCTTCCTTTAGCGCCTAAAAAGCATGTTGACTACGCCCAATCCCTCGCCAGGTTAGTTTGTGAACCCTGCAATCCTAGGAAATTTGATCTAGGAGACGATGAACAAGCATTCGTCTATTCTTCCGAGTATCGGTTCCGAGTCGTGTGTATTTATAATGTGGGGCCGACTACGATGCTAGACGTGTTTTGTTCCGAGTCCTGGAAGTGGACCAGGGAGATTCTTGCTATCCGCCGCTGTCTGAGGATCGGAAACAAAACTGTAGTTTCGTGCAATGGGGAGTTGTTCTGGTCCTATCATAAATTCGAAGATCTGAAAGAAGACCGGCTCCATGGTTCGGTGGCGGCCTTCAATCCTTTCCGTCTCGATATACCCCCCACTTCCATTGATGTTTCTGCGTTTGACGCTAAACCGTGGTGGTTTATTTCGGGCTCGCAAGGCGCATTGCACGTGATTGCATTCGAGGGCAGAGTAGGTGTCATTGGGCGGCGTTTAAGTGTTTGGAGATTGGAAGAAGACCGACGATCCTGGAGGAAACTGTGTGAAGGGTTGGTATGCAACAAGAAATCGAGGTGTGGTAACTATCGAGTTGAGAGATGCCATCTTGAACTGTGCCTACATCCATGTAAGCCAGAAGTTTTGTTGTTTAACTGGCTTGATGGGGGTGATGCGAACGCTATACTGTCCTGGGATCTGCAAAGAGAAGAGGTGGAGTTTTTTGCTGAGCTAGAAGGTGGCGCTGCTGTCGGTCATATATGGTGTTCCAACCTCGTGTCCATTGCTGGCCTACTTCAATCCAATGTTCAGAGATTGTACCCTACCGCCCGGACGAACCGGTAATATCGCTTATTGGGCAAGAAAGGGTAGGCGGTTTTACCGTACGAAACGGTTGAACTACCTTAGCTTTAGTAAAAAATACATTTTCTCATAATTCTCCGATATAACTTTGGGTAAGGTTTCCTAATACTTGCTTCAATCATTAGTTAGATGTTGAAAATTGTTCTTTTGTGTTATTGCTATTGTCACCGCTACAGATATAGACAATTTGTTTCCCACAATTGCTTTTCTAGTGGTAGGTAATTTTGTAGGAATACTCAATTTCTTTTTCCTTTAGAACATAAAAGCTAGCTACGGTTTTTTGCTCTCATTGGTTGGTTACTGTTTCATTTTTTGTCTTTTAGTGGGGATTGGTAAAAGGCCTTCCATCGATTTCCTTCCCTACATACCCCTTCCGGATTCCATGCATCGACGAACTTCCCTCATTGTAGTGAAGTGACAATGCTTCCCCTTACCGGTCGTACGAGTGTATCTGTAGCTGGCCCAGCCCCCTGCCATTCTTCCACTGATTTCCTCACATTTTTGGAAGTCCATGTCGCGTTTGTTGCTCATACGCACGAACAACTGCAGAAACCTCTTCTAGACACGCCAACGACCATGATTCGTACTGACTTGCTTTATATCTCTGTTGCACTAACCTCTACCTTACCACGAAATCCGCAGGCACGGGTCAGCTTTCTGTCCACTCCACTTCAGCTCGACACGCCACAACCCATGAATTGTACATCCCTCTCCTTACTCCCTTCGATTTGTGGAAGAGTGACCTCATTCAATTCAACCCTATCGATTTCTTCTTCGTCTCAATGATTTCGACAAACTTTCCTTTTTCTTCTCATCCCTCTTCTGCCGTAGAGTCTGATTTTCATACATTCCTTCTAGATATGGATTTCGGGAGAGGAGCAATAGTCAATTGGGAGGAGGAGGGAAATGAGAGTATTGCCATCTCATACTCTCTGGTTCCATATTGGAGAATTGTTGTTGGCATCTGCATTGCCGAATGATGTTGTTGGCATCGGCTGAAGGAAGAGGGGAAGCAAATTCAATGCAAGGTCGAGAAGGCAGTATACGGACTGAAAGCCGACAGAGAAGATGGAGTTCAACACTAGAAGTGGAGGTCTTCCGGAATGATGGCATCCACTTAAAAGCAAACCATGTGTACAATCACAAGGCGAGTCCTATGATGTTTTGATCGTCTCCCATACTTTCGGAAAGAAGAAGGAAACGAGGAAGAAATTCTGGGAGCAAAAGATCTGGCTCACCAATGAGATAATTCACTACCCAACTGTTGATAAGGTTTGAATACCTGAGTTTGAAATTATTGCTTATTTGTTATGGAGTTTGTTCAGTTTACTGTACCTAGCTTTGTGTGCTTTGGTTCTGGTATTTACGAGGTGAAGATTGATCTAGCATGACAAGAAGATGATGATGAGATTTAACTCTACGAAAAAAACTCAGTGTTGATTTAATTTCTTCACCTTCTTTCAACTGTGAAACAAGTTGCTGTAAACTTGCACCACCAGGTAAACATCTTCTTCACCTTCTTCCTCATGGGTGTTTATAGATTCCTATTCCAATGGAGTTGAAACTCTCTCTCCCACTTGGTGGTTAATTTTGGGTTCTTGGCAATCACTTTGGTATATTTCTCTTATCTGGTTTCTTTTGAATAATCATACTGGTGCCTCATGGTTCTGATCTGGATTTGGTTGGATTTGCAGCGAATGTGTACCATAGAGATATCAACCCAAGAAATGAGTGGTGCGTTGTTTTTGTTATCTGTTTCATGCGCTAATCTAAGTTTTAGCATTATTTGTGTTTTGTATTGATCACAACAGAGCCTCCCTCTCAATCGCTCTGTGGACGAAGTTTGCTGCAAGTTAGGTCTTCCTAAACTCATTCAATTGGGTGGAGCTGCACCATTGGTTGTGGCATTTACTATCAGGCTCTTAATTTGGCGTGGTGCACTTTTACATGTTCTTCAGTTATTATTACTTGATGTCCAAATTGTAATTTTGGTTGAGTTATAAGCAGCTCGCCTAAGCAAGCCAGTACTGCTCATCCTTCCTTTGTCGCTTTGGCTTGTAAATGTGGCGAACTTTTTACTAATTAGAGTACAAAAGTTACCAGCTCTCTTATTTCATTTTTGTTTAAGTCGTGGAGAAACTTTGATCCATTATGTTCCTTCCTTTTTATTTTATCGTGATGTGTAGGCTTTGCCCACTACAACTTTTACCATCTGTAGACACCACTTTTTGTCCGGGTTAAAACATATTTAATCAATTAAAATTTAGTGTCAGATTTGTAATAACAAATCTTGAACGATCTTCTAGCTTAAACATAATTGTAGTGCTTGGGTTGGGTCTTGCTTGCCATAATTCAATGAGAGCTAATCTCAATTGATACAATTCATTAGTGATGACTTGACATGTGAATTAATTGATTCTTAAGACATTGGGTCTTGTAAGAATTGAATCACGATTTCGAAATAAAAAATAGGAGTCATAACAATCTTATTAAGACAGCTACAATGCCAAATAATTGAAAACGTTATTACAATTAATTACACCACTAATTTTCTATTAGGTTAAACCAATTACAATTGTACAATAAAATAAATTGGCATCAAGCCCACTCTACACTGGCCCAAATCCGGGTCAACATGCCTGCCCAATTTTTAACCCAACTCAGCCTATACCATCCAAACCAAACCGGTTCGATTCAACCCAATCCATAAGCTACACAAACATAGAGGGCGGCCCCTATCACCTCTCAAATCCAATTACATTGTGCCAACACATCTGATTTTTTTCTATAAAAAGAGCTCTTTAGCTCTGGCAAAAGGGGGGAAAGGAAAAAAACATTCCCTGAACCTTTTCTTCTCTGTCACTTCCTTCCTCCTCTTCCTCAAAATACCAAACAGAAAAGAGAAGCCGAAAAGAAAATAGAAAAACAAAGACAAACATTCCCTCACTCTCTTCTTCATACTGTCACCTTCTTTCCCCTTTCTAATTTTATTTCTTCTTCTTCCACCTCTTACTCAAAACCTGCACAAACAGAAGCCAAAAGAAGTTACAAAAATTCCCTCACCACAAGCATCCTACCACTGCCGCCAACTTCAGCAAAGCAAAAAAAAACCCAAGAAGGAGACGGAAAAAGGGAGGTCAGAATCATAATCAAACTACAAACAAAGGTTGGTAGCCAAAACCAACCATCATCATCTTAATCATTCATCTTCTTCAACCATCTCATTTTAAGTTCTTTTCAAAATAGAAACTCAATCAATCCCATTCAAACTACAAGCAGGTTGATTTTATTTGAAAGAGGAATATACCTAATCTATTCCAAGCAATTCCAATCTGACTACTCTCATCTACTTATTATTATCGTTGTACTTTATCAGATACTTTCTCATTCAAGCAATTAATCACTACTGTCATCTACTTGTATACATTCATCTTTCTACTCAAGTCCCTTTTACATTTTAAGCACTTACCATTATCACCATCCTTGTATTGATTTGTCTCCTCTTTCTATTTCTATATAAACTATAAAGCTCACAAATATCTTCGTTCAAGATAGCTATGTATAATTATACAGCTACTGATAATCTACTAATACCAATATAGATATATGTTTCATCGATCATCTCATTTATACTTTTATCATGTTAGTATGAAATTCCATCATTACACACATATATAAAACAAAGCTAAAACCACCACTAATAAATCACGTAACAGAAAGCAACAGGCCATAATCCCAATCACTACTCAACTTTTAGTATTGAAAGCATCATAAATACCAAGTTACGTCTAGAATCTAAAGCCCCCATGAACCAACCCATAATACACAATGATACAGATTTATCAACCTGTCCTAAAACTACTCTGATAGAAATCCCAAACTTATAAAACACCATGAACCTCGAATCCAAAAATGGCCCAAAGTAACAGTTAATAGTCCAAACTCGAGTTCACCCACAATATATGAAACAACCAGATTTTGACCAAACTGCTCAAACAATAGATTTACCAAAAAACACCACCAATAAACCTTGAAATCATGCTAGAGTACACTCTAAACACAAAAGCAATGGACTTCCCAGAAACACAGGTTTGAAAACTAGTTTGAAACCTATAGAACAGAGAAACTAAACCAGAACCCATTAAGCAAACAGGATAAACCAGAAATAAATAAATCCATAGAAATAACCTACCCGAAATCCCCCACCGAAAATCGAATCTGTCCCCGGTGACTATATCCCATTTTCTCCTCTTCGTTCGAAACCAAAAAGATAAAAATAACGAGTAAGAACCAACCAAGAAAAAAAAACAAAAAATGACGAAACTAAGAAACGCTAGAGCTTACCAGAGGCGAGGTTCTAAGTCGCTGCTGTCTTTATCACCGGTAAAGCGCCGAGCCCCCGACGATTCTTGTTCCTCCTCCCCTTGATTGAACCTAAGATAGAACCCAGAAAATCAGAACTGAAATCAAGATGAAAACCCCTAAATCCCACATGCAAAAGCAAAAAAAACCCCTCACACCCTCACGCCTGTGATACCCAGAACCGCCGCCGCGTCCATCGCCGTTAGTTTTGCACCGACGACGACTTCGTTCCCTTCCTTCGATCGAGAACAAAACCCCAAAACAAACAGAAACAAGTCAGAATCCCTAGATCTTCAACTAAATCACACAAAACCGCCACCACTCTCTTTACCCAGATTAAAACCCAAGAATCGAACCCTAAAATACGACGTGCACAAACTGTAAAAGGGCAAACTCACCTTAATCGCCGCTGTCGGTACCTTGGTCGGCGTCCATCGCTGATCTTCCACGCGCTTCTGTCTTTGTCTCCATTTCACTTCGTCGTTTCCATCAGAGGAGAGTAGCGGCTGTCTAGGGTCGGATTAGAGGTAGAATGGGTTTTTGGATTTAGCTTTAGGTCGAATGGAAGAAGAAGAAAATGAAAGAAAGGAGGCAGAGGCAAGGTTTGAGAGTGGCGGCCGCTTGGGTCGCAAATAGGAGAATGCTAGGGTTCCTTTAAGTTCAAACACAATTACACTCGTCTCTCGTAAAGACGGATTTGCCCTCGCCATCTTAAAAATTTAAAAATAAAACCGGCCCTATTGAGATTTGAACCCGCGTCCGTCAGATCAAAAATACCACGAGTTAGTTTAATCAGCCACTACGCTACATAATTTTACTTGCAACTTTAATCTCCTCATTTTTCCTTATTCCTGCTTAAGCTTAATACGCAATATTTGAATCGACTTATCGTGCTAAGATCGTTGCTTTTCACCAAATTATGGCTACCACTTTCGCTTTGCCTTCTTTATTCATACATATACTAGTTTTACCTAGAAAATCCCTTAATACGAAACCTCGATCAATATATCATGATAGTCGCTCTCAATAAAATTGTTTTAAAGATTATATAACACTCAATCACTAAATTGAAACATCATAAATACATTGTCTAACAACTCTAATTATCATCTTAGCCACGATCAATAGAACGTGTTAAGATTCCCTTTTCAAAACTTATCAACTTTATCGAACTACGTGGACTTTGATCCCGGATACTCGGGTACGTAGGCAACCAATAGGTTCGAGTCCAACTAACAAAAATAATCTTTCTTTACGTTCGAGATTTACGTTAATAAACGTATGATCGAATTGTAAAGATAAATATCTAAATTATCAAATCATCACATAATTAAATACGTAAATAAGGCAAAAATTATAAACACCCAACCTTTAAAAACTTATCGATTTAAGTAGTACCCATTTGGGGCGTTGTGGGGTGTGAATACACTTTCCCACACGTAACCGTACTCCCGAACCTAGAAAAATCTAAAACTCGCGGACCAGATTTCTGGTTTTAACCTAAATAACAAAACCGGAAATGGGTGTTCGATCCACCCCAAGTAAGGTCGATGGCGACTCCGATCAGTTCGCAACGAATCCCGCAATCCGGAGGGGCGGTTGCGACAGTGGCGACTCCGCTGGGGACTAAAGAGAGTCAACTACTTAACAATCGATAAGCATTTTCTTACTTTCTTAAATGGGTGTTATGTGTTTACTATATCAATTTGCGCCTTTAATTTATGATGTATTCTATTTCTTGCATCCATGCATAAAGCTCTATTCCCGAGCTATCCTTGTAGAAAAAAGGAAGAAAGTAGTGTGACTCCTACAATAGTAGGGGAAATACGAAACTTCCCAACCAGGTTGAACTCAAATCCGAGGATGATTTGAGGTATCATGCTAAACTCGAAAGGGTTATAGTGTGGTACAACTTGGGAGCCTGGTTCCTTAAGATCCCTATCCAGCATATAGTTTACCTAGAAACGACCTAAACCACAACTTATCCCAGAGCCTACCCAAAAACACAACTTTATGCTGCCGAAATACCCTAGGTTTACCTCAAT